TCCGGCTCCTCCTCTTCCCCCCCCCGCCCGCGACCTCCCCGAATGAAGAGACACCTATGAGTCTAATCGATGGAACTCACTCACGGTGGCTCCCCCCTCCCCGGTCGGAGAGTTGGTACGTTCCAAGCGGCCGCTCCATCGCGCATGGAATGGATGCAGCGATGGAAGAGAGGACGGTCGCGCTCGGCCGGGAGGGTACCTGGCCCTAGAGCATCCCAGCCATATAGGCGAGCGGTCATTGCTCAGGCAGGCAGGCAGGCAGCCAGCCCTGGATACGTAAGAAGGGGTGGCCGTGGTGGGGATGATGGCGGCGACGGCTTGGGCTTTTCCCTACATATGGGACGCTTGTGCAGGATGAGAGGTATGGAAGACGGTGGGGGTGGGGGCAAATATAGGGTTAGGAAACCAAGGGTGACCAAAAACGTGAGCTTGGCATGTTTATATCCCTCTAAAAAAAATCTCCCCTACTTGTGTTTTAAATGGTCCTTGATCCCTGTCTGGAAACTAACAAGAGGGCAGCCTTTTTAGTGTTCTTCACTTGCTCACCCACCAAAAAGAGATAAAGAGAATTGAAAATCTTGTGGCACCACAGAAATTCACAGATATAATTAAGCATGGGTGGACTAGAGTCCACTTAAATTGCGCACTACATGTTGTCCTCCTTTTCTAGCTGGGTATAGCAAAAGATGAATGAAGAGTGGAGAGCAAAAGGCTTCAACACACAAGGTAAAAGCAGAGATATTTTCTCTCTCTTCCTCCCAGCATCTTTTATAAATTCTGTTTTTAAAGGCTATACTGTATATTGTCTCTGTAAATCTCACAACCATCTTGCAAGGAAGGCCAGGATGATTATCCAAAATGGTGGGCAATTATGAGGACTGAGAGGACAGCCTGAGGCTGCCTGGGGAGTTCATGGCTCAAATAAATGTTGAGTAAGAGACCAGCTTAGCTCTTTCCTGATGCTGTTTTATGCAAACTGCTCTCTACAAAGGCCTGGACTCACTTGTGGTGGCCTTTCACGCAAGTTGTACGGCGGATCCTTGGCACAACCTAAGCCCCCTATACTTCATTTTGTCTCACAACAGCCTGGAAAGGAAAAGGTTGAGTAGAAAGATCAGGGAGCTTGATAGCTGTGTGTGAATTTGAATCTGGAACCCTGGTCATCCAAGGGCTAAATCACTGAGTAGGTGCAATTTAATTATTAGTGCACCTGACTGGGACTTCGGAAATCCAGATTCAAGTCCCCTCTGAGCCATGAAACTCTCTCAACCCAACCTACCACTCACAGGATTATTATGAAGCTAGAGTGGGGAGGAAGAAAGCTGTGTGTGCTGCCTTGAGATTGCAGGAGGAGATGCAAGGTGTAAATATACTAAATGCATGCATCCTCAGCACCCCAGTGGCATCTGTTGATACAGAAGGCAAGGGAGAGCCACAAGCAGCATTTTTTTTGGTACACAGGACAATTGGCACCGTCTCTTACCCACTCTGCCCTGATGTGTAAGCCCGACCACAAGAAAAAGGAGAGAATGTGGTGCCCCGCCATAGAAGGTTTATGCTTTAAAAAAAGAAAAGAAGGGAAAGCGAATAGGACCAGGAGGTGTTGCCATTTATTTTCCTAACATCCATCAGTAGATTCACCTCTTAAATTTCACCACCCTCTCTACATTTTGGTGCCCTCGAGCAAAGCCCTATTGAGTCTGCCCTTCTTTTGGTGGCCCCATGCAGTCAAGACAGGATTATTGTAACTGTCTGAGCGTGGCAGCTGTGCAATGCATTAAAAACAAAAACAAAAGCCCTGCCCTTATTAGCATTACTGTAATGAAATAATAGAAGATCTCTCTCTCTCTCTTCTCCTCTCTTGCATTTGCACCTTATGTATTTCAACAAGGTACTATTGCCTCTCCTGATAAGAGTTTCCAGATATTTTTTGACTATACGTCCAACCTTGAATGTCAGCCAAGATGGCAGAGGAGGCAGGGACTTGTAGACCAATGGGTTCTGCAGACCCAAGTCTGTGAGCAGCAGGATGATCATCTTTCACTCCTGTTGCTCATGTAGCACCACAACTTTGATGGCAATCTCCAGCAGGACAACAATAGATCAACTACGGGGAGGGGAAGATGTTGTTGGATTCTAACTCCCATCAGCCCCATACAACAGGTGGAATAATGGGGGTTGTAGCTGAACAATTTCTAGAGGGCCATAAATCCTATTACCCCTGCTGTGACCCCTCCCTATTCTCCAGTCATTTATTTGTTCAGTTTCTACACCACCCATCCAGTGAAAGGCCACTGCCCTGGATAACAGCAAAGTTAAAAATCCAGCCACCTTACCAACTAAGAAACTGTAAAATTAGATGTCAATACAACAACAAAACAATAAAGGACAGTGACCATAATGTGACAATGACAGAGGTAGATGATACAAATGAGGGTCAACAGAAAACTACCGAAGGGGAAGAATATAATTCAAGACTTCTTTAAAAAAACTCTGCCTTAACTAGCTCGCAAAAGGCCTGCAAGGAGGGGGCGCTGGCAAACCTCAGATGGGAGTGAACTGTACAAAGAGGAACCCACTGCTGAGAAGACCTGTTTCCTAATTAATACTTTCTGGGCCTTCTCCTTATTTTGCAAGGTTCCCCTCCATTTGGCACTGATTAGACCTCATCTTGAGTTCTGCATTCACTCCTGGACAATGCACTTTAAGAAGGATGCTGGCAAATTAGAACAAGTTCAGAGGAGAGCAACAAGGATGGGGAACTGGAAACCAAGCTCTATGAGATAAGAATGAAAGAACTGGTCAAGTTTCACCTTGAAGAAAGAAGACTGAGGGGAGATAGGATAACCCTCTTCAAATATTGAAAGGCTGTCATATAGAAGAGGGGTAGGATATGTTCTCAGTCATTCCAGAGTGCAGGGAACATAATAATGGGCTCAATTTACAAGAAGCCAGATTTTAATTGAATATCAGGAAAACTTCCTAACTGTTAGAGCAGTACAACAATGGAACCAGTTACCTTGGGAAGTGGTGAGACCTCCAACACTAGAAGCATTCAAGGGACAATCATCTGTCAGATATAGTTTGATTTTGATTCTCAAACTGAGCAGGGGTTTGGACTGAATGGCCTTATATGCCCCTCCCAACTTCATCATTCTATAATTCTATTACTTTTTTTGGTTTTCTCCCCACACTTTGTCCAAATGCTTAACAGCTCAGTAAACACAACACACATGCTAAACATTCTAAAACCCAATGAAACTGCTAAGTCCCCAAAAGTATTTATAAGTATTCCTGCAGCCCAAAGCTTAGACATGTATTCTGCATAATTGAGTTTCCATACTTTGATGTCTGAAGAAACCTGATCAATTTTTTTAAAATCACTGAGCCTATTTTGGGTATTTAGTAGCACATAGACACACATATCCTTAGTTTAACCTGGACAGGCAAATATCTACAATAGGATAGAAAATGAAATTTGAAAGACTGTTTGAGTATTGTGTAGAATACTGGTTTGGTGGGATGCAGAATTTTATAACAAACATTGTTACTCCAAGCTCTAGTTGTCTGAGGAATACAATTTTCTGGTTTTAATTTCAAGGCTGTAGCCATACTAATGCTAATCTAGCTACTAGATCCTCTTACCAAGGAATCCTGGGAAATATAGCTCAGTGAGGAGAGCCAATGCATTCTGACACAAAGTTCTAGCACCATCAGTAATAACTCTGTCATTCTCAGGTATTGGAGGGGAAGGGAACTATAATAGTAAACTGGTAAAAGATGCATATTTCAAGAGGTCAGTATTTGGCATACTAGAAACTCCAGCCAGTATCCTGTTGGTGTCACCAACCATGCAAGAGCAATTGCAGCGTCCATCATTTTGAAATCTGCTAATTGTGCACTTGATTGTGCCCTGCCTCTGCAATGGATCATGCAGTGGACAGATCCCAAAACACAAACATGGGATGCACGATTGATTTTATTACATTTGCAGTGAACTCGAACAAGATCTTGGCCTTCATTTCCCTGCTTTTCATATTAGACATTGCTACATCTATATGCTTTACATTTAATTACGCTTATGGAGTAATAATAAAAAGAAACCTCAGCTTGCTTTCTAAAACAGACTTTGTGGGTCTCACCACTGGGAAGTCTCTGATGGCAGAGCAGCTACCACAGAGAAGGCCCTACTTTCTGAGAGATGTCTTGCAAGCTTAACAGAAATGCTGACCTGCAGGAAGAAAGATAAGTTCCTTTTATTGAGTGCAGCTCTCAGAACCTCTTGGATAGCACAGCCACCCCCAATCCCTCAAATTTCACAACTTTTACATCTAAAGAAAAGTTCTGGTGGACTCAAAGAGCTCACCTAGCTTGTAACTTTTCTGTGGTCCAATAGAAGCATAATTTGGCTGATAATTCTAGCATCTGAAAAAGGTTACCCTTCTCCTCCAACTCTGGGAATTGTACTCTAAAATGGTAACTTAACAACAACAATTTGGGATTAAATTGTTTTGTAAAGTCTGGGCTCTGACTTGTAAGCAGAAAGGCAGACTAATGGTCTGCATGTCGTGGGTGGGTAGATAGGTAGGTAGGTAGGTAGGTGGGTGGGTAGATAGGTGGGTGGATAGGTAGTAGCTGTGTTGTCTCTCCTTCCAGATAGCTTGGCAAGTGGTCAAACAGGAGTGCTTCCCCAAATCCCCAAAGCCTGATGATTTTTTAATTTTTTTTTTTGCCTTGCCAGAAAGGTTCTTCTGACCAAAGCTATCAGCTAATGGGTCCTGTTGGCCAGCTGGCAGGGCGAGCATGATCCCAGCTCCAAGAGCCCACAATCAGCAGCACTCACGCTAT